AAAAGTATGCAATATTTTTCAAGTGGCTCCGCTTTCAACAATAATAGCAATGAATTTAAATAATTCCGAAAGAGGAAATAAATAAAACTTAACGCGTAAAAAAAATTTAAAAAATAACTCACGATTGCTGTTGGAACAGTCAATGAATTTAAATCACAATGCGCCGCTAYCGATGAACAGCGTATCGCACGCACATGCATTTTTCCAATATACATTTTTGTTCGTTACTGCATGCGTCTCTAAAAATATGAATATCGCGCTGTTTGTTGCACCGTTTTGCTTTTGTTTTTGTTTATTTATTAAATTTTTTATTTCACTTTAACGATGCGGTCATAAATGCGCAAGTAATTTATACAAATATTTCTGCTTTATTTAAGATATTACTGCGCATTGTTTTCGGTTACATAATACAACGGTAATAACAACATAACCARCATAACCGACAACAAAAACTCGCTTAAAAATCGACTGTGTGCATTGTTTGGCGATTGAGTTACAAAATYTTCGCAAATAAAGCCACTGTGGTGGATTTATTTTTATTATACGCTGATGGTGCAGTGGCTTTGGTTTTATAACTGAAGTTTAAATTTCATAATTTTGCTGCTCTTTTCCAAGGAACAGCTTTAATCAAATTACAAAATTCTACACTTACAGCGAGTAAGATTACTAGTGCGGCGATGCTAAGCTCTACAAAATAATTTTTGCTTTTCTCTGAGCTACAGATATATATTTTATGTTACCTGTATGGAAGTAATTCTGTATGAAAGAAGGTTTAATAATATCGTTGTTCGATAATTTGTAAATATTTTAGCTTCTTGTTCATTTGGTTGTAGAGCATCTATCAATAGGTATGCCATGTTTGTTTACTAATCTGTGTCAAAAAATTTTTTTTTTCAGGAAAAGTCATACCCATTTTAATAGGATTCATGTAGATAATGTCTTTTATTTTTTTCGCAAAATCAATAAATAAAATTTTCGCAAAAACAATAAAGCTATCACCTAAAGTTATGCAAAATGGGAAAAATATTTAGCGAAGCCTCAAACCACAGATTGACTACTTGAACCACGTATAATCTCATTACACATCTCAATTTAAGATAGACATCTCAACCGCGAAACACYATTTTTTGGTGACCTTTTTAGCAATTACATATATACTACTGTTTCGGTTTTCTGCGATTTTGTAGCACTTACTGTTAGTGACGCTCTAAATTCTTCGGTTTTTACTATGTCTGAATTTATTGAACAAAGAAGTGCGATAATGCACCAACTCATACCGCATTGGTTATTCGTGATTGTTTCGTCAAATTTTCAACTCATATCGTGCCGCAACCACCGCATTCGCCTGATTTCACATGACTTTCGGCAAATTCACATGACCGCTCCGAGGGCCGTTTTCACCTAGTTGTGGATATAAAAACTGAATCGAAAAAGGCTCTGATGGCTAGCACGACGGAGGATTTTTCCAAGTGCTATGATGATTTTAAAATTCGTTGGTATAAATTTATTGCAGCGGTAGACGATTACTTTGAAGGAGATGAAATGGACTAAATTCGCCTTTCAATTTGATCACATTAGTATGAATGATAACAGAACCTGATCAGGAGCTAAAGAAATTAGTATGATTCAATTAATTTGTAAAATTTACTTTAATTACTCAAACATATATAAGACAAAGTGAAGCTCACTAACTTCTTAAACAATTCTTCAAGTTTGGAAACTGAAATCGGTTAAGACACTGATACTGTGGGCCAATCTATTCACGCTATTTGGTCTCATCAAACCCAAGCAATTATGGGTTGAATGAGTTTTGGTACGATAATGATCCGTGGTTTAACAAACTTATAACTTATTTGCTGGCTGAAGTTGATCGAAGTCAAATATGATCTTTTCTTAATCATAAATTCTTGAGAACGATAGCTTACGACTTTTTTTATGGTCTTTTAGGGTGTTTCTATATTTYTTCGTACTGAAAAAGAACTGATGTTCTCAGAAAAAATGAATGCTTAGTGCGGCTCGTGAGTAGTCAGAGAGTCAATAGTCAATACTGATACGATGAAGAATCTGTTACCTCGATTCTTTATCATAAGCGTTGTAAAGAATTATGCTAATGATTATGAGCAGTGAATATTAGCAGATGGTTCAGAAGTCAAATTAAAAGCAAGTGCTATAAAAYGAAGCCTTATATTTGATTTCACAGCAATTTGTTGTAAAACCAGACGAAATTTATTCGGTGCCGAATTACTCTATCTACGACCGAGAGATGGGTTCATCATCCTGAAGAATGAATTGTTTAAGAAAATTCGGTAGTTAGGTTTGTAGAAGTTGAACACTTACTATTCGAATAGTCGATAACAAATGGTTAACCGGATAGTCGAAAATGAGCAATTAATCGAATAGTCAACTACTTACGATTATTCGGATACTGAAGGCCAAATACTATTATTCGAAAAATGTCCTCGGTTATTCGAATACTAAGAGCTCTACTATGAMTGCCACCTACATTTTTCATTAATWTAACTTAARTTCCAACAAYACAATTTATGTACTCACAAAAATTKACTTTCTTTGCTACTTAAAGAAAGCGTCTATCTATCAGCGAACTAATATATATGTATCTATATTTTGGTTTCCTTTCAGACCCGCCCGCAGTGATGTGCCGTCCATGTACATCGAGGAGGACGCGCTGAACGACGAAGAGGCGCTGGCCAGTACACGCTCCGCCGACATACGCGCCGCACGCGTGCTGCCCTCGACGCTGGGGCCGCGCTGCAGCGCCAGCACAACGAGCAGTCAACACCATTACATCTCCGAGGGTTTCATACAGTACGCACAACCCAGCCTCAATGGTACGAGCAAAATACCTAAATCTATACTTAATAAACTATAGTCTGCAAAATTTGTTTTATACTCTACTCTACTCTACTCTCTATTTGATAACTATGTAATTTGTATGTATATGTGTGTGCGTTGTATTTACTACTATATTTACTTTGCAAATCTTTGTTTTAGTTGTAGTTGTAGTAGATTTAGTTGAAACTTTTCTACTGCTTTACACACTTTTCATTCTTTCTCCCCACCTTATTTGCTTTTAGTGYTTCTACAACTTTTCTCTTACCACTCCCCATATGTCTTCTTTCGTCTTTTGTATGTATTTATGTGTGCAAAAATAAAATAAAATTCAATACAGTTGCTTTTACTATTTTCTATTTGTSTCTTTATTTGTATGTTTATTTAAATGTATATGTATTTGTTTATTGTATGTGTGTCTCTTTGTAAAAAACTTGTTCAATTCGATATTTTGCGCTAACTTACTTCCGCTTTCTCTTTGCTCTACTTATTTCTATGTTTTTGTGTTTGTATTTGTATTTATATTCGTACTTGCAATTCAATGTTCGAAAGCGGTTGCATTAGAATTTTATTAGGAACAAGTAGTTGTAGAGTGACATGTAAAGACACTGATTTGCTCGATTCGAAATCATTCAATTATTGTATAACTTTATTTGCAACACCAAATTTGCCGAGAATGCAACGCAGAAAATCATAAAATTCTTAGTAGACTTTTTGTACATTATTATGCGAACAAAACTAATAGAATTAGAAAAAAAAATTATTCGCCCACTATCCAAATAAATATTATCTAATTAAAAAAGTTGAATTATTAATAAATCTTTAAATTTCATCAATATTATTTACAAAAAATTTGGAATTTATTTTTCTATC